CTTTCAATTTGATTAATTCCAAGTTTCATGAACTCAATTTTTTTTACGGTGCGTAATTTGATTTTGTGTTTCTTAATTTTCCATTTAAGACTAAAATGATTTAATGAAATCAAATTTTAGGGGTTTGGGGATTTTTCTCAGTGAACCGCGATAATGTTTCCACAGGATTTCGAAAAGGCTAAAGATTAGTCAAATTGTTGCTGCTCCTACTTAGAAAGATTCTACTCCAATTCGATTTGTGACTCAGCTTCAATCTCCAAGATCTATGTCTGGACAGGTATGTTTATAAACTTGATATTTACTATTAAAGTCTAGTTTATTCGTTTCTTTTAATTCAAAATATATTGATTTTAATAGTTAAATATTATCAAATGATTAATGTTCACGATTGGTTACATTGGTTGATTGTTGTTATGGTAATAGACCAAATTAAGTGTTTTTATTTTTTGCTATTCTGGTTACTGATAGTTGCCTAATTGGTATTAAAAATAGGTGTTATTGTTAAATATCCTTTTTAGATTTTTGAAATTATTTGCTTCAATTTTTATTTGGGTTGAAGTTTTATGAGTGTGTTTTGTGGGTTGTTTTTTCTCTTGGTATTTTTTGTTGTTGCTACTGCCTTGATTCAATAGTGGTTGTTGCTTCTTAGTTTTTTTTGTTGCTACTGCCTTGATTCAATAGTGGTTGTTGCTAAGCTCATATTATACCGTTCCTGGTTGCTGCTCTGTATATTTTCGGTGGTTGGTTATGGTTATTCAGTGTTGTTATTGCTATATGTTGTATGTTGTTGATGATTGTAGTGTTTGCTGCAACTTGAAAGTTCAAGAATTGGAGCATATATTGCTATGAGATTTTTTCTTAAATTTGTATGTCACAAAAGGATATCTTGAATCGCTGCATTGAGTGTCTTTCAATCTTTCCTCTTTGTTTAAATTTGTTGATCTCTTAAATTCGACCTTTAGGCATCATTTAAGTTTCTATGCCATGGTCACAATTTCTTTTAGCTTGTTGTCTTCGTAATATACAAATCAACCTTAGATTTACACTTGTATTAAACCAGCAAGTCACAATGTTTTTAGGTGGTTGGCTTGTTGATTTAGCTAAAAACATTTAATTAAAATAATGATATCTTAGGCTATTGTTTATTATGCTTGGTTGAATGTTTATTTTACAGACCTCTCACATTATGCAATTGGGTCTAATGACTTTAGTCAATATTCACTTTCAAAATGCGTCCTTTGTTGTCAGAATATTAATTAGTATTAGTAGTTAAGTAGAGCATAAGTCAACTAGAGCTGCATTTGAAGTTTTACGCATTTGGACTAATGAGAAAAATAATTGCATATGACATTTTATGCATTTGAACTCAATTTGATTAGTGAAATGTCACCTAAATGGAGTTCCATGTTAAAGATGCATGAGTAAGTAGTTGGCACATGAAACATTGAAAATATTACAAAAAAGGAGAAATGGCTAAACCGTAAAGATATTATAAAATTGTTTTTTATAATATCTTTACGGTTTAGCCATTTCTATAATTAGTATTCTAATTTCTACAATGTTTCATGTGCCAACTACTTTTTATAATATAATTTTTGAAAATTTTTGAAAATTGGTATTCTAATTTCTTACACAATTAGTATTCTAATTTCTTACACAATTAGTATTCTAATTTCTACAATGTAAAATTTTTATAATATCTTTACGGTTTAGCCATTTCTATAATTAGTATTCTAATTTCTACAATGTTTCATGTGCCAACTACTTTTTATAATATAATTTTTTAAAATTTTTGAAAATTAGTATTCTAATTTCTTACACAATTAGTATTCTAATTTCTACAATGTAAATATAATTTTTGAAAATTTTAATCCAATATAAAATAAATATTTTTCAAGAAACTATAAAATAAGAATAAAAATTACATAAATAAAACTAAAGTTTGATAAATTAAAAAAAATGTTGATAATAATTTTTATAGCAAAAATATAGTAATATAATTAATTACTTGGAAAAATGTATGTTAATTATGAACTATATAATCATTAAAATATTATGATAGTCATATTTCAAACGACCACTATAGAATTTTCACAAACTTATATTTACTTAGTGTATATTAATAAATTTCTTTTTTTTTACTCAGTGCATATTAACAAAAATGATTAGTTTTAACTTTGAATTGTTTTTTTTTTCTTACAAAGTGCATATTAATAAAATTCTTTTTTTATTATTGAAAATTCTGATTTTAATTGTATTATAACTATTATTATTACCTTTGACATTAGGTATATGCACTGTGTGAAATTAGGTTTAGGGAACCGTGGCATTAGGGTATGCACCGTGGCATTAGGTATAGGAAACCGTGGCATTAGGTATTATAGCTAATGCCACGGCAATAATATTGTCGTTGGATTAGGTATTGATCTAACGTAACGGATCATTGATACTGTGGCATTAGATGTCATATGTCGTTGCATTAGACCTACTGCAACGCCAGCAAATGTCACAGCACATGGCCATTGCAATAGGCCTAATGCCACAGATTTTGACGCCTAATGCAACGGATTAGGGGGTTGCAATAGGTCAAAAATGTAGTATTGATAATATATTCATTACCAGAATATTATATGTATGTAGTTATGTTTAATTGCATTTTATAAATGTTCATTAAACATTTTTTACTTTTAAAAGGCTTTTAGTGAAATGTTAATTACCATAAGAAAAAATGATCATTAACAAAATATAATATGTTCATTAACATCAATTATAAAAAATAAAAACTATTAACCTCAACCAAGAGTATATTAATTCAAGATAACAATTTCTTAATTGTTTTTTTTTTTTTTGCCAACCTCTTAGCTACAATAGTATCAAATAAAGCTAAAAACCTATCATACTTATAAGAAACTTGTTTGCCACCATGACAAATGCCTTGAACATCTCTTGAAGGAGCATTTGAAAGAGCCTGAGAATTTGAAGAAGATGTGACAGTTGCAGAAACTTCAACACTTCTTATAGGTGGTTGACAAAATTGAACAATTCTTGCAACCCTTGAACGAGCTTGAACATTTCTTGAAACTTGATCTTAAACATTTCTTGAACGAATTGAATCTTGAATAGTACATTATTTGAAACACTTGAATGATCTTGAACAGTAGAAACACCTTGATCATTTCTAGCAACATTTAAATCCTTCTCCTATTTACAAAATATTTCCAATGATTAACATAAATGAACATTACCAAAAGATTAAATGTACAATTATAAAAAATAAAAAATAAACGTGATATGAGAATATATTTATATACTTATACATACAACCTTAGCAAGGGCAGAAATATCTTTATCAAAAGATGTATTGCATCCAAAAGAACTTACACCAGGATCCTATAAAAATATTTATACAATTTAGCAACAATATTAAACATATTTACAAAATAAGGATAATTTTAAAATAATAATTAGAATTACTTGCTCAAAACCTTTAAAAACACTTTCATCATATTCCAAATGAATTTCTACTACAGGAGCTTCCTTCCTAGCAAACTAAAGAAAAATACAAAAATAAATAAATCATAAAACAAACTTGATCATTTAAAGAAACATAAATGAATATATGTTATATAAAAAACAAATTTATAATATTAACTTAGAAGGTGGGTTTTTCAAAATTATCAGCTCATTAGGATCACACATACAACTAGCATAAGTAACTGAGAGTCCATTCTCATCCACTTCCTAAAAAATAAAATTTGATCATAAGTATAAAACTAAATGATCTTATATAAAACATAATATGTTCCACATTACCTGAACTCCTACTTGACCTTTAGCCCTCATGTAGGGTGTATATAAAGACTTTCTCTTCATTACCCCTAGCTTTGTTACATGCCTTTTCAAGTACTCTTAGGGCGAACATTTCTTTCACCAGCAAGCTTCTTTTTGGGAGGACTATTTACTTCATGGTCAACGATTTCTACTCCTTCAGCAGCCTCATTGAAGTTAATTGTACCCCTAATACTCTCAACTTTATCTTTTAAAATGTTGAAATAACAGTCAACTTCTGCTCTTGCAGTCAAAGAATTTTGGCAGCTAGTTATCAACTTCACAAACTTCCTTAGTGTTTGTGACCTCCAAACACTAAAAGATACAATATTTTTTTTCATAGAAGGTTCATCATTGGTATGAGTACACATGGCAGCCTTTGTCCAACGCTTAACAATATACTCATCCGGAATCTTAGGTACACAATTGTAGACACCTAAAAATGTCTCCCCAAAATCAAACCCGATGATGAACAACCTTTCATCGCCATTATTGGTCGGGATGATTATTTAATCTTTGGAGTGATTAAATCCATGTTCAATCCAATACATTTCATAAACCAACCCATTTCCTAGCTCATTTCCCTAAACCATAACTTATTTTCCTCTTTTCGTGTCAACATCGCAAAACCGAGAGAAACTAATTTTTTTGGTATTATAATTTTGATCAAATTATTATTTTGTTGGATAGTAATTGAAATAAGATTTTCAACCATATATCATAATCCCAATTCCGATTTAAAAGGAAGAAGATATGAGCAAAACACTAAACTCGGCCCAAAACTGACACCTTTCTACTAAAACGGCCATATCTTAAAATATACAAATTATATTGACCTGATTCTAATTGGGTTGAAAATTAGACTTGATAAGATTTTCAATAATATATTATATGCCTTATTCCAAGTTACGGATCAAAAGTTATGATACTTGTAAAAACTGGAATTATCGCGCAGCAGCTAAATGCCGCGACGCGGCAAATGCTGACGTGTCACGTGGCATATTGCCGTGAAACGGTGCCTTTTTGTGTAATTCTGCCTTTTCTCACACGTTTAATCCACCGTGTCACGGGAATATTTCCGCACCACGGGATTTGGCACCGTGTCATAGTGTAATTTCCCGTGTCACGGTGCCCATTCCATGACACGGGGCTGTTCCGTGTAATTTCCGCGCACATTTTTTTTACCGTGACACGGTGTACTGTACCGTGCCATGGTGGACACTTCCTTGTCACGGTACATGTGCCGTGTCACGGAATCTCCTCGTGTCTTTTCCGCGTAAACCCTTCACTCCCGTAGGTCAAATATTTCCTGCGTCACTCCAGTTTTTCCCGCGTCACTCCAGTTTCCCCGTGTCACGGTATTCTTTTCCATGTCGCGGTGTTCTTTTCCGTGTCACGACAACCTTTTTTAGGGTTTTTAATCTTTTTAGGGTTTCGTTTGTTCCCTCTGCTCATTTTCCCTATAAATACCCCCTCCTTTCTACAGTTCGCGGCACCAAATCCTGCTCTCTTTCTACAGAGGGGTGAATTGAAGATCAGAAGAACAAGGAGAAAGAGGAAAAAAAAGGAGAAAGAGAAGATAAAGGGAATGACGGCTAGGGAGACTAGGAGAGAGAATATGGAGGTTGGAATTAAAACCCTGACTCTTAATGATTCAGCATAAAAAAAAAAAAAAAAAAAAAACTCACGGGTCAACATGTACTCGCCACTCTCACAGGTCGGCCCATGACCCGACCCGAAGACTTGGTAATTATCCCGAGTTAGGTACCCGGCCCGCTAATTTCAGGAAAAAATAAAAAAATATCCGGTAAAATTAGTCGGGACAGCGGGTCATCAAGACGGATCAATCGGGTCGGGTATTTTTGAACACCCCTAGAGAGTAGGGAACAGTGGCTGAAGGGGGTTGTAGCCAAAAAATTTCAAATTGACCGTGCTAAGTTTAATAGCAACCATAACTGAAAGCCCAAATACGAGACGAACCATCTTCTAATCCAACCAAGAGTTGGACCCAAAAATAGGAATATTGCAATGAATAAAATGAGTTTTTTAAAAACGGGCTGACGTTAACACTAATCAATACTTGACCCTATGAAAATTGAAACAAGTAGAAAGGGCATAAATGACCAACTACCACAACTTTATAATGCTTCGTAGTTGACAACACTATACCCCCCCTCTGCATCATCATACTTAAATCGTCGCCATTTCTGAAACTCAAGCTTCTCTTTCTTCTTCTCTCTATTTCTCTTCACTTACCTTACTTTCTCTCTCCTCCCTCTGAAACTCCCACAATTTAACCCCTTGAACTGAGATTCACGACTTTGCTACTATTTTCGTCCTCAAATTTTGAATTATTTTTGTAGAAATATTCAAGGGGAAGAAGATCTTTGATACTATGAATGAATTCCTTGTCTCGATACACGATTCATACTCTTGTCAAATTGTTCACATGTTGAAGATCTAATGTCGATTTCGGCTTCGTTTAATTTATAATGTAATGCTTACAGTTTTTCTGTTTACTTTCAAATTTTTCTCTCATTTTAGTTTTCATTCACTTTGGTAGTTTAAGAGATCTGTCAAATTGTTGGTGTTCAAAACAAGAAATTATTCATGGTGTAACAAAATATTTGAGTAGTATTTATTTTCATGGTTTTTTCGTCTTATTATAATTTCATTTTTTTTCCTTATTAGTTGGTTTAGTTGAAGCTCGTTTGTTTCTCAAATTTGCGGAAATTACAACTACCAAATTGCTAAAACTTTTCAACTTTTTAATGGATTTTTTTCCCCCCTAAATTTGTCATTTTTTTTTTATGACAAGAAATTTGTCATATTATTATTTAGCAGTATGTTTCTAATTGTATGTTTTGTAACTGAATTGGCAAATTTGAGATCGATTTTAAGATTTCAGAACAAATTAAATTATAAGTATAAGGTGAAAAAAATTCAAAAAAAAAAAAAAAAAAGTTGTAACTACTGTATAATTTCATTCTATGTTGCAATTTTACAATTGGATCTTATAGTTTCACCGGATCTTACAAGATTATCTCGCCCAACAACTCAATATAATGAATACATATATTTTTTTTACAGGTATCAGACAATGAGCCCAGATAATTTGGGTTCAAGTAGCATTAGAAAATCAAATACAAATAACTTCAAATCAAGTAAAGAAGATCATCAAAACGGCGGCGGCGAAAACGGAAGAATAGCAAATATTGTTACTGTGACGACGACTACAACATCAACTAGTAACAGTTTGGAAGGAAATGGAGTAATACACAAATCTCCTCCAAAAACAAATCAACAAAATGAAAACAATCACCACCACACCAACCACCATCACCACTATGCCGCATCGAGTTCTTCAGTGGTCAATCCGAGCCATGAAAGCAGCCCAAGTCGAAGTAACGCCTGCCTCGGCGGAGGCGGAAGTAGTGGTGATATGCTGCTACAATGGGGTCAGAATAAAAGATCGAGGTGTTCAAGGACAGAAAGTCGGTCCATGGTTAGTGTTGTATTGGACAAACATCATACAAGTAATAATAATCATGTAATGCCACCTCCACATCCAAATTCAATTCCAACTCTGCCGTCTTTGCCGTCCACTTCTACTAGTAATGGTAGTAGAATTGGTGGTTCTACCAGAGTTCGACACCAAGGATTACTCTATAACAAAGATACCAAAAATAGGTATTTATTGTTTGATTTCTTTCATTCATTTTTCATAATCAGAACTTGGTTTTGAATTGATTTGATAATAAGGGTAATTTTCAAAATATAATTATCAGTTTCTTAGAAAAATATTTAATGGGTTTTTGGTTTATTGATTCATCTTGTACACTCTATTATTGCTGGATCTAATAATTTTTTATTTTTTTTGTTAGAGGAGATTGGTGATTTACTGACTATTATACCCTCTTAAAAAAAAGAGTTTTGTTATAATCTATTCTATTATTATTATGATGGGGTAGTGGGCTTATTGGGTATATAAATAAAAAATACTCTCCGTTGTCAGCAATTGAGGGAGAAGGTTAGGGTGTGATGTATTCATTGTAGTATCTTTAGTTATTTACTTTGTTTATACCCTTTTTAACCCTCTACATGTGGATAAAAATAAAAAAGACACACTAATCCTAATCACTGTTTTATGTTCTTTTTTCTTTCTTAGTAGGATATATATATATAATATAAGTATATAACTTCTCCTGTAACCTGTAATTTATAAATTGTTGCGGCCAACAGTCTTAAACAAATTCTGCTGTTAAATTGTTGTTGTTGTTGCTGTTGTTGGTGTGATGCATAGGAACTTGGTTGATCAAATGGGTACACATAGCGCGTTGCCGTCGAGGAATGGCGGTGGTAGTAGCCGTCCGATTTCTAGATCTACTGTGGGGAAGCGATCCCCATCTTGTACCGAGAAGAATGATAAGAAGGTATCATCTTCTGGGGCAATTAGGAAAGTGAAATCAGATGATTCTTTAGCGCCCCATACAAGCAATGGAAATCATCATGTTGAATTAGCTCATGTAGACCATGAGCACGGTGGTGGGGGTGCCGCCTCGATGGCACGGTCTCCGGTGGCGGACACCGAAAAAGGAGGTAATGAAGTGGTTGAATGGCCAAGGATTTACCTATCACTTTCAAGAAAGGAAAAGGAAGATGATTTTTATGCATTGAAGGGTACTAAATTACCTCATAGACCCAAAAAGAGGGCTAAGGCTGTTGATAGAGCCCTTCAGGTAATTCAATTTGTTTCTTGTAATTGGAATTAATTAATTTTGAATATTATTAATTTTAGGATAAGCTTTCAATTTAATTGCTCATTTTTATCTTGTGGTTCTAGTATTGTTTTCCAGGTCTTTGGCTCTCTGATTTGACGAGGGCAAGATATGAAGTTAGAGAAAGAAAGAGTGCCAAGAAGGTAAAGATTGTTTTTTTTTTTCTTTTCTTTTCTTTTTTGTTGTGCGGCTGCTTGTTTGTTTAATACACCCGTGAATTGTGGGTAGTGACCAGGTCTTTATTGCTTTCTTTGAATATCAACTAATTAAGAGAGCTTTGGGTTGTTGGATTTTAAGATAATACGGAGTACTTGTATAGATTATAGATATATTTGGTTGGATGGCCGAACTATCTTTGGTCAGATAGTCAGATGGAGTGGATGCATAATATAGAGTGATACAAAGTACTTGTACTTCTTTCTCCCTTCGGATTTAGGCCCGTTTATTTCACCTTAAATAATACGTACTACTTTCGGTCCAAATCACTCGCAACTTTAGAATATTTTATATCTCACAAATAATACCCCAAAGTTGCGAGTAATTTGAACAAGAGGTAGTAGTAATATTAAGTAAAAATATTTTCAGTTTAGTAAAAATAAGTTCAATTTATGGCCTGTTTACATTTACTGAACTGAGCTAAACTGAACTGAACTGATTGGAGTTGAACTGAATTGAATTGATTGGAGCTGAGTTGAACTGAACTGAACTGAACTAAGCTGAAATGAATATTTTATGAGAGAGGGAAATTAGGAGCTGAACTGAACTGAACTGATTGAAGCTGAAATGAACTGAACTCATTGGAGCTGAACTGAAGTGAACTGAAATTAAATAAATATGATTAGACCCTATAATTTCAGTTCAATAAAAATAAGTTCAATTCAATAACAATAATTTCAGTTTCAATTCAGTAAAATTAAGTTTAGTTAAGTATAATTTAGTAACTATAAAGAAGAATTATAAATAAAAAAATAATAAGTAAATGTAATTTCATTTCGGTTAAATTAATTTCATTTCAACAAAAATAATTTCAGTTTAGTAAATTAATTTTAATTCAGTAAAAATAATTTAAATTCAACAAAAATAATTTCATTTTAGTAAAAATAATTTAAGTGTTATTTTTAATTCCATTGTGACTAATTTTAGATGAAGTTTATTTTATTAAGGGTTGTTCGAGATTTGTTGAAACATATTTTGATGTATGGCAATTTTGATTTTAAAATACGAGTAGAAGTTTTTAAAAATGAACTCTATCTATTACGTGCCAATTAAAGAGTAAGCCTCTAAATTTTCCTCCCTATCTTGGCTATCTATTTAATAACAAATAATAAAATAGAACATGCTTACATCATTTGTGACACATGTTAAATTATCATTAAAAAATTTAGCGCCAACACAATATATGATGTCATCGTTTTTTTTCTTTTTTTTTGTTATTTTACTTGAATATTTTTTAAAAGTACATTGTATAGTTATTTTTGGAAAAAATAATGCAATATTATGTATACTACTTTTGAATATTTTCAACACAATTAATCAACAATAATTTTTTTCTCAATTCATTTTTAATAATTTGGCCTTATTATTTCATTTTTCTTATACATATTGCATTTGTATATTTCATATAAATTGCCTCATTTTTTTTTATATTATATTAATTATGGAAAATAACATGCCATTTTTCTTTGGACCCATGTAATAAGTTTAACACCTGTTCAAAATATATATATAAATATATAATGAGAAGGTTGTTATAATGAGAAAGATGAGAAGAATTTTATATGCATTTTTTTTTTATTGAATGTGCAATTTTTTATAATAAAATGTGCAAAATAAAAATCTGATTCAAACTCGTGGAGTAAATTCTTTCTCCGACACTCATCTCCTCAAGCTCTTTCACTCTCCTCCTTATCTGCATCTCTCAATCAAAAATTTCCTCATTATCACCACCATTACCACCGCCAAATTCCACCTTCTCTTCCATCATTTCCATTCACTTCATTGCAAAAATATTTTACAGTACGTGTTCGACTTCTTCGAAAAGTTTACCATCCCAAGAGATGAAACTCACTCTATAATTGAAACTCCTCTCTCTTCGTTAAAGCCTAAACTCAAAACGATTTCTGGTGATTGAAAAGTACATTCGCCGACAACGTCAATTCTATCCGTAAAATATGGTTTCTAATCTAATGTCGTAATTAGCATACTCACCAAATCAAATATCCAAATTATTTTCTCTAACTCTATATCTAAATCAAAAGTTAGACATTGAATAAATTTAATAGAAGAGAAAGAAAGAGACAACACATAGGAAAAATAAAACTAAAAAACTGAATGTGCATAATTTTTTAATTAAATATGCGTAACTTTTGTACTAATGTGCATAATTTTTTGTCTAAATGTGCATTTTGTTGGAGCATGAAATGTGAATCGTTAGATGGATTTGTATGGTCAAGATTCCTTCTCATTTTTCTCATTTTAAGATCCTTCTCATTGAATCTTATATATATATATATATATATATATATATATATTATATATATATATATATATAAGTTTAACAAGTTATTATTAATTGTTCTCACTATTTAAATTTATATGCAACCGTCACTGATTATATCTCACCACATAAGCGTTGACTTAGTAGTAAGAAATATGAATAGGACTTTTTGTTTTAAGGTTAGAAGTTTAATCCCTATTAGTCTACTACGGGCGAACCCAGTTCAGAACTTAGGCAACTTATCTTCCCTTCCTAAAAAAAGGGGTGTTAATGAAAAGCAAATATGCTTAGAGATGATGGTGTTTATGTTTTAATAATGTGTTTTGGCATTTTTTGGATGATATTTTTTTAATAGGGAAACCAAATGAGACTTCACAACATCATTATCAAATATGTTGCTGTGGTTGTTTAAAGTTTTAAACGTATACATTTCCTACATTAAGGTTCTCAAGTATATCCTTTAAATTATACAGACCCAATTTGCAGCAGTTTCTTACAGATTACACTTTTAACTAAAATTTCTCTTCAATGTTAGCTCTAGGTTGGCATAGTTGTGGCTATGTTAGCACTAAGCACAGTTTGAGTAAATACCAATAATTTTTCGTTTAACGCTCTTTTCTTAATTGGCTAATCTTGGTTAAAACACAAATTTGGCGGGTTTTGCTAAACTCTGAACATCTTGCAGCCAAAACGAAGGGGATTGAAAGGACTAGAGACCATGGAAAGTGAATCAGAGTAGAATGCAAGATGAAGCTTCCTCAGATCAATGACCGCCCTTTTTGAAGAAACTATTGCCCCCAGCAACCATATGCTTTAATATATTTTGAGAACTATAGCTTTTGCTTCTCTCAAGTATGAGCTCTGTTCTTCAGTTTTCCTTTAGATGGGGAAGGGTGGCGCCTAGTATTTTGAGTTCCTTGACAAGGTCTAGCATTACGGCAAGTAAAGCTTCACCTCGAGGATAAATATATTGAAAAGAATGTAGAGGGTTTTAGGGATAACCCAGCTTGTTGTAATGGTAAATTTGAAAATGGATGAGAAGGAAAATATCAAATATGTGCCTTCTTTGTTGATCTGTGTACAGATCTTTATTAAAAATGGTCAGTGAATACAAGAAAAAAAATACTCTGTTGAAAATTTCCTAAAATTCTACTGTATGTGCTATGTAATGTGTCTCCAAAGAAAAAAAAAAAGTTCAATAACTAATGACCTAATGTAGAAAGGCCTACATGAACAAATTCATCCTAAATCATTAGTTCAATACCATTACCATACCAACCAAAGAAATATGGTCAAATTAGTAAACTTTAAAGGAAAAATTAATAACAATAATTCAAACTTTAGGTTGTCTTCCAATATTAAGTTCAACTTTGATTAATTTAAAAATAAGTCTTAACTTTGAAATTTATTTTTCATAAATGGGTATTTTTACCTATGACCCGTCAAATAGGTTATTAATTAACTTATACGGAGTACATAATTAACTTAAATAAAAATTAACTTAATTAATAACAAAATTAATAACCTTAATATTAAATTATAATACAAATTTAATAAATAATTTTTTAGAAATTGAGGTATCGAGTTAGGTAGTCCTAGGTTTGCAGTGGGTGTCGACTAGGGTGGAGGTTTTAAGGGTCCGATCAACTAAGGTGGAGCTGGGGGGTAGAGGTTTCACCGACGAGGGCAGGGTGTTGGGAGTGGGTGGGGGTTCGTGAATGTTGGATGTGTAATTTGCTAGTCGAGATAGTATTTTTGGGTTCAGGTATGGGCTGGGTGGAATCGCCAATTGGGGTTCAGAGTAAGAGGGTTTCGCGGGCAAGGGTGGGGGGCTGGATGGTGTTTTGCCAGTACGGATAGGGGTTGGATTCTGGTGGTGGCTAGTTGGGTAGGGGGTGGTTCGTCAGTTAGAAGGTTGGTTGTTTCTATTTTTTTTTTTTTTTTTGGTTTTCAAAATTAGTTAATTGTGTTCTTTAGATGTTAATTAGGATTTAATTTAATTACACTTTTAGAAAAAATAATTAACACAAATCTCGCAGATAATGTTTTGACACATGGAATATTAACTTGTTATTAACTCATATAACAGGTCATAACTTAATATTTGAATAGTGACTATAAAGGTTGACTTATTTTTTAAATAATTAAAGTTGAACTTAAAATGAAAGATCCCAAAGTTCAACTTTTAAGGGATTGCAAAAATTTATTTAATCATAAAAAAAAAATGTTTCAAACGGTGGTATTCCCTTTCTAGTAGCCTCGTAGAGTCGTAGCTACTTTAGAATTTGCTAATGTATAATTGTAGAATTCGTATAGATTAGACCTGGTTGGGTTTATGAGTTGGGTCAAAAGGAGTTCGTCTTTTAATTTTTAATAGGTCAAAGCAGATCACAGGTTAATAATGGGCTAATAATAGACGGGTCAATAATTAGGCAAGAAAAAGGGAGGAGACAAAAGTAATTACGTGCCAATATTTGAAAACTATATATTGAGACCTACTTAACAATTGGTTTAAGCTGCATTCTTGTACAACTATTCTAGCCGCAACACTGGCCTACAAACCCAATTTTAGAAGTGCCCCATTAAAAAAAGCCCCAAATCAAAAACGAGTTTACCCAAAAAAACTAAACATATCTTTAAAATGTAGCCCACCCAACTGTCATTTATACAAAACAGTCTCTTCCAAGTTCCAACATTTTTTTTAAATATGTGTTTTTTTTTAAAAAAAAATTGTCACTCTCAAACTTAAATTTCTGAAATTTATTACTCTTCTCTTTGATTTTAACTCTCAAATAATCAAACAAAATTCACCCCCTCTCCTTAAAAACAACCATGGATATTCGAGATGCGATGAAAAATCACACCGATTCTCCCAAAAAAAAAAGAAAAAAAAAAGTAATTTTATGTAAATATCACTTAATTGTGTTTGAATTTATATGAATATCACTTAATTTTGTTTGAATATTGTTTGATACTCTATTGTTCAAAAATTTAATTGGAATTGTTAAAAAATTTAGTGAAATCAAACGGATACCTTATGTTCACTATATGTTTTGAAATGTTTATAATATTAGTATTTGTTTTTTATATGATTAATATTCTTAATGTTCATAAAAAGTTCTCATTTTGTTTGTTTATGCTTATGTTCATATTTTGGAGTATTTATGTTCACTTTCTAAAATGCATATGTTCAGTTTTTTTTTTTTTTTTTTTTTTTTTTTTTGAACAATATCACTTAATTTTGTTTGAATATTGTTTTTGACAAACATCAAGCTTAGAATTTTATTAAATCAACAAGTTTTCAAGATCATTAAAAATCGCCCCATATAATTCCGGGGGATACTCTTCAAGCCAAACACGAAACTCATTGAAACTACTACTAAGCAAAGCAAGTTCATGGGCTACACCATTTCCTAGCCGTCTGACAAAAGAGAAAGAGCAAGAAAAACACTCCCTGCCCAAGTGTAATACCTTTTTTCATATGATGAAACAACTTAATGTTGTTGGTTTCCAGCACGAAGTTTCTGAACCCAGCCTCAAGAGCAATAACAAGACATTGCCACATAGCAATAGCTTCCCCAATATCAACATCAAAGCCACCTTTGATAGACGAACAGTATGCGAGGAGCACATCTCCAACAGCATCCCTTAGAACACCCCCCACTCCGAGGCACTGCTGAACCTTGAAGGAGGCATCAGTGTTTAGTTTCAGCACACCCACTTGCGGAGCTTTCCAAACAGAGCCCAAATGCAGAGCAGGAGACGCAAGGTTACATCTCTCCAAAGCTGCTGCATACTCTCCCACTAGCCCAACAGCCTTATGGATTAAATCACTCTCTAGCTTTCGTTTTTTCTCAAAAACCCAAGCATTGCGTTTCAGCCACACACCCCACGCCAAACTCTAGAAAATATCCCACCACCTCGGTTCATTAATCTTCCCATAGACCTTTGCACACCATTCACGCAAAGAGTCAGCTTGGTCTCTCATTGTGTCCAACCTCAATACAGAATGTTCCCAAATAGACCTCACAGAAGGGCAAAGCAGCAGCATATGTATGGTAGACTCCTCTAGCTCACCACACATCGGACACAAATGGTCTACCTGCATTCCCCTAGCCACCAGACGCAATCTGACAGGCAGAGCCTCTTTGATAGCCCTCCACGCGAACAACTTGATCTTGGGAGGTAGCTTAGCATTCTATATTTTTTTCCATTTGAACGGAGTAATCGCTACAGAGGATGTTGCCCTACCCAATTCTTCATCTTCAATTAACAAGTTATAGGCGCTTTTAACTTTGTATTGCCCATCCTTTGAGAAATGCCAGCTCCATTCATCACTATCTTCAAACAAAGGAATAGGTATGCAACAAATATCATCCACTTCTCTCTGAGTAAAAGTTCAAGCAGCAAGTTCCGATTCCAACATTTGTTTTCCCACAGCTCCTTCACTACAGTTGGAGCATTATCCCCATCAGCAATTGGCGAGAAAATGCGAAAGCTAGGCAGATTTGGAACCCATGGGTCCTTCCAAATGTTAATGCTACTTCCCCCTCCAATAATCTTCCTGGCCCCTCTTTCAATTACATTCTTTACACTCAAGATTGACCTCCAAGTGAAGCTCATTCCCGCAACAGCTCTAGCACCAAAAAAATCCGAGGAGGGAAAATACTTACCTTTGAGAACCCGAGTCATCAAAGATTTCTCATTGGTAAGTATCTTCCAAGCTTGTTTAGCTAACATAGCTTTGTTAAAAAGCTGCATATTACGAAAACCCAAACCCCCATTATTTTTTGAACGATAAAGCTTGTTCCAAGCCACCCAACATAGCTTTGTTTGAATATTGTTTGATACTCTATTGTTAAAAAATTTAATTGGAATTGTTAAAAAATTTAGTGAAATCAAACGGATACCTTATGTTCACTATATGTTTTGAAATGTTTATAATATTAGTATTTGTTGTTTATATGATTTATATTCTTAATGTTCATAAAAAGTTCTCATTTTGTTTGTTTATGCTTATGTTCATATTTTGAAATGTTTATGTTCACTTTCTAAAATGCATATGTTCAATTGTTTTTTTTTTTTTTTTTTTTTTTTTTTTTATTATTATTTTTTTTATGTATATGTTCGCTTTTCTTAAATACTTATGTTCATATTTTGAATTCTTATGTAAACTTTCTGAAATTCATATTTTTATATATTTTATGTATATGTTCACCTTATGAAATGATTGTGTTTATACGCATTCAAAAAATGAGTCAATGCATATGTTCATATTTTGAATGCGTATGTTTATTTTCTAAAATGCATACATCATGCATATATCCATATTTTTAAAAAAAAAAAACTATTTATATTTCAACTTTCAACCTAATAAAATGAACATTTCATAAAAAATATATCTTATGTATATGTTCACCTTATGAAATTATTATGTTCATACGCTTTTAAAAAATGAACCAATGCTTATGTTCATATTTTGAATGTGTATGTTCATTTTCTAAAATGCATATATTCATATATATATATATATATATATATATATATATATATATATTTAAAAAAAAGACTATTTATACTTCAACTTTCAACCTAATAAAATAAACATTCATAAAAATATATACACACTTTAAAAAATAAACATTTAGTATAAAAAATTGAACATGTAAAAAAAAAAAGTAGGAAAATGTGCTTCCATTAATCTGAACTTTGACCCGTCTGCCCAAATTAATCCCGACTTTCGTTTATTATCTATCACTCTTAACTTTAGGGGGTATTAATTTTTATTGCACCCAAATGACTTGCAACCGGTAAATCAGGTAAACATTTGTGAATTTTTTTTTTGCACACATTATCAACCTGTAATTGGTTGAGAAAAATAGAGTAAATAAAAAAAATAAAAAAAAAATGTTAAAAAAAAAACCTTAAAACTATTGAGCAGCTGCCCCACCACACGAACACCACCGACGCACACCACAGCACCACCATCGATGGCCGAAAACGGCTGATGTTGGGGCTGAATACCCTAACCCGGCTGATTTTGATCGTTTGTGGCC